GATAACCCATTAGCGGATGCCAATGAGATATCAGAATGAATTAACTGATGTGAATGACTTGCTGATGTGAATTAACACTATTCGAATTCGAAGACATTTCTATCAGTTCACTTAAGGCGCTCTAATGTTGAAAATTGAGCAGTATTCTGACCGCTCTTGAATGAAAGCTTATCATTTGGTAGAGTGCGATGAAATTATGAGGGAAAACGTCGTCGGCAAAACAACCACCGCAAGCAGCGACAACTTACTTCTTGAACGTTTCATAGGCCAAAACCAACTTCTTGAAGTGCGCATTTTAGGTTTTGGTGGCATTTCTTGAAATAATATTCTAGATGACGCTTCTTGATTCGGTTCAGTGAAATATCTTGATGGCTGAATGATACTGGAATGAATATAGTAGTCAAAGGTATTGCTGCAAGATTACACGTATTGGATTCGGAACGTCATTTACGTGCATGTTTACGTACATGTATATGGTTGTACACACATAAAATATTCTGAAAAATATACATTTTTGAATGCAGAANCGTTGAAATAAAATCGAGTAAGTGCACAATGTGAGTGTAAATATATAGTGGTGGAAGTACGGTAGATATAGTCAGCCAACAACAATGTGATGATATCGAATTGTAGCTGATAAATAGTGGTAATTAGGGGGAAAGCGTCAAATAATTGAGAATAAAGTGCTCAACAAAGCAGCAGCAGTAGTACAACATCACATCGAACATGAATTGATCGTGTGCTGCGAGTGAATACGCTGAATAAGCGATTGCATATGTAAATGAAGAATGAACGGACTTGAAGAATTTCAAATAGAGATGGAATGAATTTTAGGAAATTGATTAAGTAATTGAATGAGTGACGGAATGAGTAGATGAATAAACGAATTAAAAGTGAATATAGGAATTCAGTCAAGATCAATGGTGGGGCTATGTGAAGACGACGAAGTTGAAATTGACGAGTTAATTGAATGAAGAAGCGCTGAAAATGAACTCAAGATGACTGAATGATCCAGAAAAACCGAGAATACAATGGCAATGCAATTGCGCGATGGGCCAATGACAAGCAAACGACGCAAGTCGATGATGATGAACGAAGAATGGAAAACGAGTGAATGCGGAATGCTTTTTGATGTAAAAGCACCATTAGATAGTGGTTATGCGCTTGGTTGGGTGCTTGATTGTTCGAAAATGGACGAAAGTCGAATGACGGTAATGGTGGTAGTGCACGGGTGGTGATGGAGGAATGTGCGGCAAATTGTGATGAATTCGATTTTGATTAAGACACCTCGCGCTCGCTTTTAGATTTACTCAGCTATGCGCATTTGAATGACGGACCGACTTGGGCGATAGAAGCTTGAAGAACGTTCACAAATTGATTCACGGGTGAATTTGATTTATGTTACGTTTAGCATCGTACTTTTTTTGCGTGCATTCCATCGCATTGTGCATGAGGTAGTAAGTGTTCGTCCATATGATAATTTCACTACTACTCAAATTGTTGTTGGTGTTGTGGTTGCGTGACTTTTATTGTCGTTATTTTCGTCGTTTTCAATCCTATTATTACCTTCTGTGATTAGAGCGACAGATTTGGAACACCAAATCACCAATTGAATTAAAATGGAATGAAAAGTCTTGCAACAGCTACGGCTGAGGCAAGAAAATTCCTTCGGAAGATCGCTCGGTAATCTTTGCATTCAGTATTTTCAAAATCAGATTTGCAAAACAGCCTATTAAATCAGCACAATAGCAATAGAACATCAAGTGATAACTGTTTACATCTTCGACATAACAACCAACGTGAATGTTTTCATGATAACTGAGTAGAGCATGACGACTATAATAATAAGGAAGTTAACAGGAGTGGCATGGAATGACAACAGCAAACGAAGGCTAGCATGAATATTGCATGTATTACAGCAATTACTCAAGTT